AACAAAGAGTGAAAAATTTAAGGGGGTCTGAATACTTTCCGTACCCACTGTATATTGTAGTAATTGGGCGGGTTTTGTAGCGAAAACCTGGCAACCCTGCACCAGACAGAGCTGTCGGCGATTCTTCCTACTGTAAAGTCATGCAGTGTGTAACCTCCCGCCGTTGTTCCATCGTGCAGTGTGAACACAGCAACAACTGAATGCTACTCCAGATAGTCGTTCAGTGTGAAACCAACAGTGATGCTACGTCTTTGAAAATCGTGCAGTGTGAACTCAGCATTAGAGCTAAACTGTATACTCATGTTGCTGTTATTTATTCTGTGAAACACAAAAGGATAAGTTTTAAAATCAGCATGAAACGGAAATTTTCCCTGTGTATTTCACTGGATTTTTTTTTTTTTTCCCCTGACGTTTTTTCTTAAGTTCTCACATCATCATTTTTAATCAAAATGTCATGACTGGACTTTCCAGTGAAAACAACAGACCTCTCTCTGGTGACTTTTTCAGGGATTTAGTCGGTTTAAACCCTGTCTCTTCAAGCTCACATTCATCTTCCTTCCACTTTTGAGAGCCAAGCCCGCGTCTCAACATCCACTTAAAAATCAATGCAAAGACCCCGTCCTACATTATTTCCCCATCGATAATCTGTTAAACTCAGATGTGCATCCCACATTTCTTTGTGACTTTAAAAGGAGGCATTTTTATGCAGCTCTTTTCATCAATGACGGTTCACTGTGATTTCGTCTATCAAATTCTAAAAAGAAATATTCTCTCCATCGAATCTCTGCATTTTTATTTTTACGCTTAATCAAAAAAAAAAAAAAAAAGCAACAATGTGCCAGGTTTAACATTAAAAAAAAATCTGTTTCCCACTAAAAAAAAAAACAAACATAATTAATGTGTTTGGATCAGAAGGGGAGTAAATAATGACAGAATATTCATTTTTATGATCTAATTCTTAAGCAGCAGGGTGTCTGAAAATATTACTGCCAGCTATAAGCAGGATCTTGCGTCCCTTAGAAAACTAGTGCATGCTAAGAGAAAATACTTTACTATACAAAGAACGCAAGGTGGCTTACATTTTATCGCCAAGACAGACAGAATATCAATGTCATAACTTTAACTTATCTTTGTTTTGAGCAGATGCCCTTGAACGGCATTCCATAAAGCAATAATATACAGACCTGGCCTTGATGTGAATTACACAGGCAGTCAGAGAGAGCTTGCATTTCGGCATGTAACGCTATGATGAGTCACGCGCTCTCTTACAGCTGTTTCCCTCACTTCCTCTTTCAGCGTTCTAAACAGCCAGGCTCAAGCACGGCGTGCCAAACCATTTATATTTCAAGCCTACGAGCGTACTTTTCGCGCAATTCTCTCTAAAACGTTCAGTTTTGTTGTCGCACGCGAGCAAACACAGGCCTGTTCAACCACAGCTTACGCACGCGTTGATGTTTGCGACACGCGCTCGCGTTGGGGCGGGGGAGGGTTTGCAACTCATGTTTTGACAGCTCAAGCAGAACTGATTTCATAATAAAAATGATACTTTTACTCTTCCCACGACTGTAGTAAGAAAAATTGCGCAGGAGTAATAAAGCAACTCCTATCACATCGTCTGAAATGTTAGCTCTTAAGCAACAATGTAACATAAAAATGGAATACCTAACATTCCAAAAATGCGTCAGAACGCTTGAAATGTAACTTAACGGAGACTATGAGAAGATATGCTGTAGCCTACGTTAAAGACAGTAACGTATCAAACGCGTTCCTCACGCGGAATTACCAACACTTAACTAAGCAGTAAAGTTATAAAACATAAAGTGCGAAAATCAACTCACTGGCATGTTTAGGCGCAGAGATCGCTTTTTCTTTGAGGATTTCTTTGTACAGTCCTTTTTCTTGGAGTCCATCACTGTACTTCCCATGTTCCTGCAGTCAGTCAGAATTCTTCTCTCAATATGTTTTGGGAGGAAGGCGTTCTCCACACGCGAAAATATTCACGCCAGTTTCGCGATGAAATCGTCGTCCGTAGGGTGAATTTTGCAGAAGCTCGTCTGACTTAAAACGAGCACATCCCGAGACTCCAGTTCCTTATCAGTGTCACTGCGCCGTGGAAGACATCCGCATTCAACTCCACTTCTGTCATGGGTTCGAGTCCCGCACTGGAGACTGCGCACGCCCTCCTTGCTGCTGAGAAGTGAGTTTTATTGATCTCAGACGTACTTATCTCGGAAGTTTGACTTCTGCAACATCTGCCTGCTGAGTGTGAAGCTGGTGTCAGCTGACGGATTACACTGACAATTGTTTACACTGACAAAAAAAGTCAATGTTTACCAAAACTGTTTAACTCTTAAAGGGATAGTTCACCTCAAAATGAAAATTAATTTACTCTACCTCTGGCCATCCGAGATGTAGGTGGCTTCAGATTTGAGAGCTGATTTCAGAGATTTCTTCAGTAGAACAGCAAGATTTTTTAGCTGAAACCGTGGTTCTTGGTTATTCATAAAATGCAAGTCAATGGCTACCGACACTTTGAGAGTCAAAAAAGCACACCAGGCAAGATTAAGTACCGTAATAGCCATGTCTGTGCAAGAAACTGAACATTATTTACAGCATAATTACCTGTAATCTCTTTAAGTCATCGTGATTCTCATGTGACGGCTGTGTAGTCTTGCATGTTCACAATTATTGGATTCAAATTTGCTTTGATACCTTTCTACCCTAGTGTACTCATCTCACATCTACAAATGTAATTGTACTGTAACTGCAGTTGTGGCTGTTTAGAACTGAAACCTAATGAACCTCATGCAAGACCCACATCCAACACCCCATCTCACTCATCACATAAAGGCAAAGATACTAATTAATAAATGTATCTGATTTATATTGTGCAAGTTGTTTGCGAAGTTGACATGCTTTAATAGTTACCAAATCTGGTCCTCAAATATAAAAAGTATCTGTAGTTCAATATAAAGATTTTTTTTATTCTAGCAAAAGTCATTAGTGGAGTGCATACTACAGTCTCTAGGGGGCACTACTGTACTGCACCCTAAATCACCTTTATTCCAGTATCGCATGTGTGCAAACTACTTACCCACATACCACTTCCTTGCTCTCTTAGTAAGAGATATTGGTATATGTAAAAGATATTTGAAATGGCTGGTTGATACATATTCTTTCAGAGACCCCCCCCCCAAAAAATGCTTGGAGTCCATCACTGTACTTCCCATGTTCCTGCAGTCAGTCAGAATTCTTCTCTCAATATGTTTTGGGAGGAAGGCGTTCTCCACACGCGAAAATATTCACGCCAGTTTCGCGATGAAATCGTCGTCCGTAGGGTGAATTTTGCAGAAGCTCGTCTGACTTAAAACGAGCACATCCCGAGACTCCAGTTCCTTATCAGTGTCACTGCGCCGTGGAAGACATCCGCATTCAACTCCACTTCTGTCATGGGTTCGAGTCCCGCACTGGAGACTGCGCACACCCTCCTGCTGCTGAGAAGTGAGTTTTATTGATCTCAGACTTACTTATTTCGGAAGTTTGACTTCTGCAACATCTGCCTGCTGAGTGTGAAGCTGGTGTCAGCTGACGGATTACACTGACAATTGTTTACACTGACAAAAAAAGTCAATGTTTACCAAAACTGTTTAACTCTTAAAGGGATAGTTCACCTCAAAATGAAAATTAATTTACTCTACCTCTGGCCATCCGAGATGTAGGTGGCTTCAGATTTGAGAGCTGATTTCAGAGATTTCTTCAGTAGAACAGCAAGATTTTTTAGCTGAAACCGTGGTTCTTGGTTATTCATAAAATGCAAGTCAATGGCTACCGACACTTTGAGAGTCAAAAAAGCACACCAGGCAAGATTAAGTACCGTAATAGCCATGTCTGTGCAAGAAACTGAACATTATTTACAGCATAATTACCTGTAATCTCTTTAAGTCATCGTGATTCTCATGTGACGGCTGTGTAGTCTTGCATGTTCACAATTATTGGATTCAAATTTGCTTTGATACCTTTCTACCCTAGTGTACTCATCTCACATCTACAAATGTAATTGTACTGTAACTGCAGTTGTGGCTGTTTAGAACTGAAACCTAATGAACCTCATGCAAGACCCACATCCAACACCCCATCTCACTCATCACATAAAGGCAAAGATACTAATTAATAAATGTATCTGATTTATATTGTGCAAGTTGTTTGCGAAGTTGACATGCTTTAATAGTTACCAAATCTGGTCCTCAAATATAAAAAGTATCTGTAGTTCAATATAAAGATTTTTTTTATTCTAGCAAAAGTCATTAGTGGAGTGCATACTACAGTCTCTAGGGGGCACTACTGTACTGCACCCTAAATCACCTTTATTCCAGTATCGCATGTGTGCAAACTACTTACCCACATACCACTTCCTTGCTCTCTTAGTAAGAGATATTGGTATATGTAAAAGATATTTGAAATGGCTGGTTGATACATATTCTTTCAGAGACCCCCCCCCCAAAAAATGGCCTATTTGGACGTCTGGCACACTTTCAAATAAAATATCAAACTAAGTGGCATTTGCAAATGATACAGTATGTATCAGTATATCTATTGCTTCATCGTCTACAGTCTAACAGCTGGATATCTGCTCAGCACTTTCTCAGATTGAGTAGTGTTAGATGAGGTGATTCGGGAGGCCCTTGAAGGCGCCTGACTTCATCCTGCTGTTCGAGAGTGCGTGAAGACATTATCAGAATACGGGATCATCTCGAACAGCAGGATGAAGTCAGGCGCCTTCAAGGGCCTCCCGAATCACCTCATCTAACACTACTTTGTATTTGTGTAGCAGTGTGCGTGAAGACATTATCAGAATACGGGATCATCATAATGGATGCAATAATCAGCAATAATCAGACCTAATGACTGCTGTGTCATTATGGGTTCTCTGCCATGCTTAATACCTGGAAGCAGATGCTGTATTGTGAGTTATATGTTACATAAAAAAAAAAAACTATGTAAAATGCCGTCTTATGTCAATATGTGACAAATTTAGGAAATAATGTACACAAATAGTTTGACAATTCAAAGTTTTGATGTGACTATACACTGACAATTACATCAATATGGATCCAAATATAGTACACTCAGACAGTGTCTCTTATGTTTCATATCCTACAGTGATGATTTCTTCTAGTTCATTAGTCTGTAATATTGCCCTTCAGAGCATCGTGGCTGTGTTGTTTATTTGATTTTCTGTAGCCCAGTCATCTGTCCACAGGCTCAAGTTTCCAGTCTTTCCTTCTCTCTCAGTCCCAGAAACACAAGCTGCATTCTGATTCTCAGGGTCCCTGCATAGTGACCACTGCTCCTTACTCACTCATCAGGGGATATCTATAGACGTTCACTTCACTTGACAAAGTTGATTGATTGATTGATTGATTATCAAAGAATCCTTAAAAAAGGATCTGTAGGATGTGAAACATAAGATACACTGTGAGAGTACATTAAATTCAGTTTGCAATATATTGAATCCATAATGAAGATATCATTGTATGATAAATGTAAACTAGGTGAAACTACGGAAACATATATATATATTATATTATATATATGTAACCCCTCTCTCCCGGGTCCGCTCCGCCACACCTCGTTCTTGTCGCTGGCCTCCGTTACATATATTTCCTGCACATTCATTATTTGATTCATTTTTTTCATTTGTCGAACTCATTGATCACGTTTAATTGATTATTACCAGCAGGCGGCGTCTTTTGTTAATGATTCTACATTGTAACCCAGTGACGCTCGTCTTGATTAAAGGAAGCATAAGTATCATCCTGTATTATTGGCAGAGATGTCATTCTCAAGTTACACATGCTGAACTTTAAATGAACTCAAGCTTATTGGTGTAAGACCTCGGTACTGTACATTCTGGTGTAACGTGTAATTTGTGTCTGACTGACGGTCAGAGAAAAGCAGCCTGAAAGCAAACGCTCTCATCAGGTCTGCACGAGGCATGTTTGGTCAGAGGTTTTGGTTTTCATCATTTTCAACATGATGTCTGGCACTGAGGCCAAACAGCTTTCCTTTCTTCTGCTCTGGTCTGTCTGGAGCACATTGTTCCAGTTCAGTCAGCTCTCAAGATGAAATTGGTGGGACAACCTGATGTGAACTGCCTGGGGTTTGAAATGTAGATAAATTGGAAGATTATTTTTTGGACAGTGGAACAACTTGACTACAAATTGCTTGGCTGTAAAACGCATCCTGGACTGCAGTTTCAGGGCCATCAAATCCTTCTTTTGAAAGTGTCAGAGAGCTGGGTTTCTGGATATTGGTGGGATGTTGCAGTAGTTCAAATCTGTGCGCCTATAAAGGCACGATATACAGTTTTAACAGTACAGCAGGTGTTTCAACTGCATTTTTGTGGATTAAATATAGTATAAAATTAGTACAACTGCAATGTTATGTATGATATGCTATTAGTGCAGCTTTCAAATAACAATCCCATTTTACCATTTTATATGGTCAGTCATACATAAAAGAGATAAGAAACAAATAAGATTAATGCACTCAAAGAATAATGGCATAGTTAATAACTATTTTAATCTATTTGATCTTATTTATATATATATATATATATATGACTAATTGTGTGTGTGTGTGTGTGTGTGTATATATATATATATATATTTGTGTGATTATTAAATCATATTTTTTTAAATGCATTTATTGCTTAGAATCAGCAAACATCTGTTAATTGTGAAAACAATAAAATGTATTCAGTTAAAAAATACGAACATTGTTAAAATATGGATAGCTCTGAAGCAAGCATTATTCAATTGATGATATATTAACCTGGTTATTGTATATTTAAAACACAATTATGGATGAATATGTAACAATTCAAAAACATAAATCTTACATTTAGGCCTAAATATTTTTGAGTGGTCATTACATGTAATTTTAGACTGTCGTCCTGTCTAAATGTTCAACTGTAACCCTTGGCATAACATCATGGCAGCAGAAATATAACAATGAAAAAAAAAATGATTGAAGTTGTCGTATTTTTCTAGAAATTGATGTGTTTTCTGTACAAGGTACTAAATGTACTTTAGAACCTCTGCTGGAAGACTTGCAAAATAGTGTCTGCAAAGCTAAGTTATGCTTATTTTGCTATATTCTCCCTGAAGGTGTTAAAACC